TTTTTTTTTTTTTTTTTTTTTTTTTTGTTCTTTATTACAATATTATGATATTATGAGAAACCGCTTTTGAACGTTTTTTTTTTTTTTTTTTTTAATTTTATTTTTTTTTTTTTTTTTTATTATTATTATTATTATTTTTTTTTTTCAATGTTTTCATTCTTTATATTTATTTATTTTTGTTCAGTTTCTTTTTATTACAAAATTAAATTTATTAATAAAAGTATATAAAGTTCGTAATATAATATTATAAATAAACATACAATATTACAATAGAAGAGTTCTAAAACTTAAAAACTAAAACATGTTAAATAATTCACTAAAATAAAACATGTTAAATAATTGCTTGTTGATAAAAAAATAAATAAATAAAAAAGAATGTACATTAAATATATTCATATACTAATATAGACAAGTGATTTTTAAAAATTTAAAAGTAGATTAGTATATTTTCAGCTGAAAAAATGAGTTTTTTAAGATTTTGTTTAAAAGAATCAAAATTACATTCTTGAGAAAAATCTTTAGAAGTATTTAGAACTATACTATTCCATAAAAATGGTCCGCGAAATGAAATAAAAAATTTTCCAAAATTAGTTTGAGAAAATGGTTGTCGAATTAAGTTATCGTTCCTTAGAATATATTTATTTCTATCTCTTTGTAAATACAAGTTACGAAAAGAAACGGGTGATAGGTTGGTCTTGCATTTATACATAAAACAAAGAATATTAAAAACATTTAACTCATATATATTGAGTGCTTTCATATCATATAAAAGAGGCTTGGCGTGAGCAAAACGGTCCTTGAAATTTATAAGGCGTGCTACATGCTTCTGTTGCCGATAGAGAGGTTTAAGTTTACTTTTATAAGTGCTACCCCAAGCAATGTTTGCATAGTTGATATGGCAATGAATTAACGAATAATATAATTGAATTAAGGTATTTTTATCAAGAACGTTTCTTATTTTGTATAAAATGCCTATACTCTTTGAAATTTTACTGCACAAGTTAGCAATGTGGCATTTCCATGTAAGATTTTCATCGATATATACACCTAAAAATCTTGTCACTAAAACTCTATTAATAACTATGTTATCGATAAATAGAAAAGGTAAGTTGCTAGGCAGCTGGTGCTTTTTACCATAAGGATGAAAAAGAATCCATTTAGTTTTATCAATATTTAGTGATAGTTTGTTTAATCTAAACCATTCGGAAATTTTGACTAGTTTAATGTTCATATTGCTAAAAAGTGTAAAAATGTTATTATGAGAAAGAAATAGGTTAGAATCATCAGCAAACATAATTGTCATTGGGTTAGAAGCTTTTGGTAGATCATTAATATATATTAAAAATAGGAGAGGTCCTAATATGGATCCTTGAGGAACTCCACATGAAATATTTAACAAACTAGATGATACGTTATCATTCGCATAAACAAATTGTTTTCGATTATTTAGGTAACTTTTTAGCCAAATTAATATTTTTCCAGTAATTCCGTACCACTCCAACTTTTTAAAAAGAATTTCGTGATCTATAGTATCAAAAGCTTTCGCCAAGTCAATGAAAACACCTAAAGTAAATTGAGAATTTTCAAATGAGTCAGATATATTTCTTGTAAATTGTAGAATGGCATGTTCAGTAGAATTGTTTTTTTGGAATCCATATTGATTGCTGTATAATAAGATGTTTAAAGTAAGATGACTATACATTTTATTGTACAAAATTCTTTCTAAAACTTTAGAGAATACAGAAAGGAGTGAAATTGGACGATAGTTACTTATATTCTCAATGTCACCACTTTTTAATATTGGTATGACTTTTGCTAATTTTAAAGCATGTGGAAAAATTCCCTGTTTAATTGATATTAAAAAAATTTTAAAGAGTATATCTTTTAAAACATCAAATGAACTTATAATAATGTTGCCATTAAAACCATCAGGGCCTACTGCTTTGTTAGATTTTAACATTTTAAAGGCATTTTCAAACTCTTCAAAAGATAATTCAAAAGAGTTCAAGTAAGAGTTTAGAGGGAAACGTAGATCATTCATTAAACCGTTAGCTATAGGAGTTCTTTTTGCCAGATTAGGTCCTACAGACACAAAATATTTATTAAATTCTTCCGTAATTTGTCTTTTATCATATAAAAGTTTATTATTATGTTTAACCGTGTTTGGCAAAGAGTGAGATGTACATTTTTTGCTGCCAGTAATTTCTCTTATTATAAACCAAGTGCGTTTAAAATTTAATTTATATATATTTAGTAAATTTAAATAATAATTTTTTTTTTGTTTTTTCTTGAAGCTTTCAAAAAGTTTAGCGTAATTTTTATATATAATTTTATTTTCATTTGTTTTAGATTTTAAGTAATTAATGTATAATTTTTGTTTAATTTTTGAAGACTTCCGCAAACCCTTTGTAATCCAAGGCGATTTAATACTTTTAGCTTTGAGATTTAAATTAACTTCAGGGAAATTAGTTTCATAAATATCATAGAAAGATTTAAAAAAGGAGTTATAAAGTTTATATCATCAGAGGTGTTAATAATGCTCCAATCAATTAGAGATAATTGTTCCTTAAAAGATTTAAGGTTTTCATTTGTAAAAAAACGCTTTTTGAAAACTCGTTTTTCATTAGGAACTAATTTATTATCTATATTTATAGAAAAGAAAATAGGAAAATAATCAGATATGTCATTTTTAATTATGCCCTTTTTTAAGGATTCGTTAAAAACATCAGTGGTTAAAATATTATCAATTAAAGAGGCACTTGATTGAGTAATTCTTGTCGGTTTGCTAATCAAGGGAATCGCACCATTTTCAAAAATGCCATTATAAAACCTTTTAATGTTATTATTGACGTGGTATTGAAAACAATCTAAATTCAGATCACCCACTAAGTAGATAAATTTATTTTCGTGATTACTTTTTTTAATAACGTCATTACATAAAAACGAATTAAAATTTTTAATTTCACCTGAAGGTGGGCGATAACAACAACTTAGAATTTTATTTTTTATTTTATTAGTTAAAATTTCAATCGTTAAAACCTCTTTATCAGCATCAGAGATGCTCATGTCATGCCGGGTAAAATATCGTAAGTTATTTTTAACATAAATAAGAACGCCTCCGCCACGCTTATTTGTTTTTCGTGCTAATGAAATTACATTAAAACCCGGCAGTTCAAAATTGGTAAAAAAATTTACGTCATCCGAACTGCACCATGTTTCTGTTAAGCAAATTATATTAAATAGATTACAAGTTTCTTCAATAAAATTACGAAAGATTTCAAAATTTTTTTTAAACTGCGGATATTAATGTGAATTGTGTTAATATTATTTTGATCAAGAAATCCTTTAATTTCATGGGTATAAAAGTAGTTGCATTTATTTTGCAAAGCACCAGAATTAGAAAAATAATTAAGATCAGGATGAGATTCATCATCTTATAAGAAATCATTTGTTTGAAAAAAATTATAAAAACTAGACTCAAAATTTAAGGTTTCGTTAGAATCCATTTTATTTTTGTTTTTTCATAATCGAAATAAGATCAAAGAATTTCTTTATAAATCCCGTGTGATTAATTTATTATATATAACTTTAGCGTACTTACCCTTTGCCCTTAAATCTTTTGCCTCATTCAGGAGTTTTTTTCGCAATTCCATCGTATGATCACTATAATCTTCATTTATGTAAACCTTTTGAGTCCACAATTTCATCGTCGTGTATTTTCTTAATATCGTGGCTTTGTCTTTGTAGTTTAGAAATCTGACTACGATCGATCTGTTTTTTTTATTGTTTTCAGGTAGTTTCTTTCCGACTCGATGTGCTCTTTCAATTTCAAATTTTCCGTGTAGCTGAAGTTTATTATTTAAAAATTCTCTTACTTTATTTTCACTGTCCTCCCAGCTTTCATTTTCAACTTCTTCAATCCCACAGAATCTTAAGTTGTTGCGTCGACTTCTGTCTTCAAGTTCAGCCAATTTGTTAATCATGTTAGAATTTGCATATTCATTTATCAATGGTGTTTTTGATGTTTGATGATCAGCAACTATTTTATCATAATTAATACTTACAAATTCAACAGCTTTATTAAGTTCGCCTAATTCCTTTTTTAGTTCCTTATTCTCGTCAATTACTGAGTTTAATTTGTTTTCAAGCTTTTCAATTCTTTCATTAAACATCTTCATAATAGTATTTTTATGAATTTCCAAAATATCTTTCAATTGTGCAGATGTAAAATTTTTAGTAGCCATTTTGAAATTTTTTTGATAACTAGTAATAAAAAAAAGAACACGTCCGTTCGCGGTGAAAGTTCGCGGTGAATATATATATATATATATATATATATATATATATATATATATATATATATATATATATATATATATATATATATATATATATATATATATATATATATATATATATATATACATATATATATATATATATATATATATATATATATATATATATATATATATATATATATATATATATATATATATATATATATATATATATATGTATATATATATGTATATATATATATATATATATATATATATATATATATATATATTATATATATATATATATATATATATATATATATATATATATATATATATATATATATATATATATATATATATATATAAAATCATGTGCAAATCTCGATTAAATAAACAAGAAAAAATTCAGCTCTAGTTGCTATGGTCGTTACTAGTGAAGCATAAAGATGGGAACTCATTTTTATACTGAAATCTTTTTTAGAAGTTATTCGGATTAGTTTTAATAACGTTGGAAAGATAAATTGATGTCAAATTTATCAAAAACTGTATTATATCAAAGCTTTAAAACTTTCTAGATTTTTCCTTATATCGTAAAATCAAGAGATTAAACTCATCTGGTCATTAAAATAACTTTAATGCACATGCTTTCAAGTTAAGTGGGTCTCGTAAATAAGAGCCAGTAAATATCTATTTAGTTTAGTTGACCAGCCCAGTTCATTGCTTCCAGAAATTTCGAGATTCTGGTTTACGAAGTTCTTTCGTTTTTATATTAAAACAAGGCAAGACTAAAGTTCATAATAGAAAGCACATTTTTGCGAACGTACGATTTTGAGATTAATAATGTCAGTTGTTGGATTTGATATTGGAAATAGCAATTGCTTTGTTGCTGTAGCTAAAGCAGGTGGCATTGAAACTGTTGCAAATGAATACTCTGATAGATGTACACCGTAAGTTCTTAAAATAAGTCTAATATTAAATAAGTCTATTTTAAATTTAATATCTTAATGCATTAAATTTAATTTCCGAACATAAATGATTATTAGAGAAAACCTATTATAGAATTTAAATGTTATTAGATTGTATTTTTTGTTGATAAAATTAATTTAATGCAACACAAAATGCAGTATATATTGCATTTAAATTTTGCGATAATTACTGATCACGTAATGTGTGTCTGGCAAAGCAATGCTGTTGAATTCAAGTTATGCTTTTTTAAAATGTATTTTCATTTCATTCTTAACGATACACTTCAATACAAGTTATTTTAAAATGTCAAGTTTAGCACCAAAGAAAGTTTTGACATGATGCCTTTTTTTTGGACTTATTATTTTGTACTCTTCAAATGATTCAAGACAAATTTTTAATGAATATTCTTGTGATAAAAAATTACAGGAAAAAAGTGTGTACATTTTGTTTTTACTAATTTTCACTTTCAATTTATTTGTATAACATTTTTCAAACTGAATTTAAATAATATATCTTTAAACAAAATTTATCAAATATTTAAAGAGGAATAGTTGCAATTATGCAACAATTATTAATGGGTACAGCCTTTTTGAAAAATTTTAAATTCAAAATTTAAAATAAATTTTAAAGTAAAATAAATTTGTGTGTTGTTTAATTTTAGACTTCTAGTAAGAGTGTGTATCCTAGAATTAATTTTAATTGATTTTATAGTGCTATTGTGGCATTTAATTCCAAGCAACGATTAGTGGGAATATCTGCAAAAAATCAAATGGCTATGAATTATATGTCAACCATCAGTCAGTTCAAGCGTTTTATTGGTCATAAATTTGATGAGCCCCAGATGAAACATGAGTTTCAATTTATCCCTAACAAAGTTGTTACTACTGAAAATGGCAGTGTAGGATTTCAGGTATAAATAAAATGTTTCTTCAATTTAAAAATTTAAAATAGTTAAAAGTAAAGTTATTGTTAAATTTAATCGAATATTTAATTTTTTTTTTACAATTTAACAAGAACTAGTATATTGTATTTTAAAGTAAATTGTAATGAATTTCTAAATGTTGAGTTTGTTTTGAATAATAACTGTTAAAAGATACTAAAATAATGACATTGTTATTAATAAGTTATTCATGCAATAATATTGATATTAAATGAATTTCATTATTTTTTTAAATAAATTTTAAAATGATTTATCAAAAAGTTTTTAACAAGGTTTTTTTTTCAGGTTCAATACAAAAGTGAAACTAAAGTGTTTTCTGCAGAGCAAATAGTTGCTATGCTTCTTACAGAATTAAAACAAACTGCTCAGGAAAATCTTAAAATAAAAGTGACAGATTGTGTGATTTCAGTATGTGTTTTTTTTTTTTTTTTTTTTTTTAAATTTAATGATTATATTTTATAATTTGAACTTTTATGATTTAATTTAGGTACCATCATACTTCACTGACTTTCAAAGAAGATCTGTTTTAAATTCTGCTCAGATTGCTGGGTTAAATTGTCTGAAACTTATGAATGACACCACTGCTGGTAACAAGTTTTAAATTTTTTTATAGTTAATACAGTCTATTGATAATAATAAATAATATTGATACAAATGTTTGTAAACATTTTCAATTTATAATTAACTAATTTTAAAATGATTTTTAAATTCAACATAAGTTCGTTTTTAAATGGTTAAGTTAATTTTACAACAAACTTAATTTTGATTTTGAAATTTTAGTTATATTTAATTCCTTATATAAGTTTATTCATAAGTAAGCTTGTAAATGAATTTATATTACAAATATGTCTATTCAGCATTTTATCATTTTATATTTCTGCGTTGTAAACAGAATCTTATTTTAATGATTATTTGAAATGCAGTATGCAATAAAATTATGTATAATTTTGTTGCATAATGTATCCTTCTTATATACTGTACCTGGCTACTTTTTTTAATTATGGAGGGTGGGGATCTAAATTATTAGGCACTAACGCCGCATGCATAGATTATTATAATAAACATATTATTATAAACATACGAAAGAATAGAATTGATCTGATAATAATAGATTTTACAAATGTGTTTTTTTAGAGGCTGAGATCTCATTGATGGAATATTTTCAAAAATATATTTTTATATTTTATATTTCTGCATTGTAAACAGAATGTTATTTTAAAAAAACATTTTTATTTTATTTTTAAAAAAACATTAAGAAAATATACATTTAAATATTAACGTTATAATCAATCTTTATGAAAAACTTGATCTGTTGCTGATAAAGAACTCAGTCAGGTGCATATCCAGTAAGGACAGTTTCGTATTAAAAAGTGGGGTCAAATATTAATAAAAATTTAGAGGTCTAATTCTCAATTAGTTTTTTTTTAAAAAAGAAAAAATGCATTAAAAATTTAGAACTAATTATATTGCCTATCATTTCCACCTATTCTTGTTAATAATTTTAAATAGTTTAATATTTATTGTTTAGTGGCTTTAAATTATGGCTTATTTAAACAAGATCTACCAGCTGCTGATGAAAAATCAAAGAATGTAGCTTTTGTTGATATGGGGCATTCATCTTTTCAAGTCTGTATTGCTTCTTTTAACAAAGGGAAAATCAAAGTTCTATCTAGTGCAAGTGATCCAAATCTTGGTGGCAGAGACTTTGATCAAAGATTAATGCATTATTTTGCTGATGATTTTATTGTGAGTAAAAAAAACTTAAACTATTATATATGGCATTTAGACTCAAATTAAAACAACATTTGTTTTTACACAGTTTTTGCACTGATAATATTATAGATGACATTTATTGGAAATTTTGAAATTCAATTTAAATTAATTTTTCTTTCAAGTTAATTTAAACTTTAATTAAACGCAAAAAATAAAATATTTTAAATGAGATTTAAGTTTTTATAAATGTTTTTTCTTGAATATATTTTCTGGTTATTTTTTAATGATAAATTAATATATTTAATAGTTTAAGAAACTATGATTTATTCATATTATAATAGTTTATATATTTAGATTTTTTAGTTTCAAATAATCAAGTAAAGCAATTGAAACTAAATAAGCAACTAAAATGAGTTTATAAATTGCATGGAATGCATGAAAATATATTGTTAGACTAATTTATTTTTTATAGAAAAAATATAAGATTGATGCTAAAAGAAATGCTAAAGCTTGGTTGCGGCTTGAGAGTGAAGTTGAAAAATTAAAAAAGCAGATGAGTACAAATTCCACTAACCTTCCTCTAAGCATAGAATGCTTTTTAGATGACAAAGATGTTTCATCCACTGTCAACAGGTAATAGTTATTGTCAAAAGTGTAATCTTTCTAACTTGTTTTTACTTGTTTTAAACTGTTATATTTGTTTTTTAGAGCTCAATTTGAAGAAATAAGTCAAGATCTGTTTGCTCGAATTGAAGCACCTTTAAAACAAGCACTTCAAGATTCAGGTAACAACAGTATTTAATTAAAAAAAAACCTTTGCTATACCACAATTTTTATGAGGCTGTTGAGTTGTCATTTTTTGCAATATGTAATAGTGGTAAATGACAAAATCTGTAAAGTGCTTTTTTTCTGACTGATTTTACTTATTATTCAATTAAAATATTTGATATTCAAATGTAAAAGATGATTATTTGAATATATACCTTTTTCTTATGAAGGGCTCAAAGCAGAGGACATTGAAGTAGTAGAATTAGTCGGAGGATCAATGAGAATGCCGGCAATCCAAACATTTGTTTCAAATGTTTTTGGAAAACCAATTAGTACCACTCTTAATTTGGATGAAGCAGTAGCCAGGGGTTGTGCTATTCAATGCGCAATGTTATCTCATACTGTTAAAGTACGAGATATTGAAGTAATGGATGTTGCTACTTATCCAATAACTATATCGTGGGATTCTGTTAGAGCAGATGAGCAAACAGGAGAAATGGAAGTGTTTAAAAAGTATCATTCGTACCCTTTTACTAAGATGTTGACTTTTCCGCACAGAGTTGAGCCATTTAAGTTTAATGCTTTTTATGGAAAAGATGTTGTTCTTCCCAATTTTGAGCGAAAAATAGGTCAGTGTTAATATTATTTTTTTTTCTTAAAATTTCTTAATTTTTACTTTAGAAATTTTGTTATTTAAAAATTAATGCATTATAAATAATATTTTGCAGGTGAATTCGTTGTAAATGCAGCTGCACCAACAGAATCAAGTGACACAAACAAAGTCAAAGTAAAAGTAAAAGTTAAGCTTGACATTCATGGTTGCTTTACAGTGAGTGGAGCTAGTATGGTTGAAACATTACCTGAGCCTCCAGCTGAAATACCAAAAGAAGAACCAATGGAGGCGCAATCAAACCATCAACCTGAGGAAGCCAAAAAGGGCTCAGAAAATGTAGATGTTAATATGGACTCGGAAGTAAGTTTTGATTTTTCTGATTGAAAAATCTTGTATCTACTTATTTTAAATATTGAGTTTTTATATCTATTTCAATCGTAGAACAATTCCGAAAGTTCTGCTAAGCCTGAAACAACTGATAAAAAGAAACAAGAAAAAAAAATTGAAACTAAGAAAAAAACAACTAAAACAACAGAACTAAGTATAGTGAAACACCAAGCTGGTTTATCTAGTGCTGAGTTAAATTATCTAGTAGAAGTTGAAAATGAACTTATCTCACAAATTCGTCTTGAAAAAGAACGTGCAGATGCAAGAAACAAAATAGAAGAGTATATTTATAAAATGCGTGATAAAATTCATTCAGATTATTACCAAAATATTACAGATACTGATCGGGACAGTTTTTCTGCTCTTCTTTCTTCTACAGAAAACTGGTTGTACGATGAAGGAGAAGAACTTCATAAACAAGTGTATATTGACAAGCTTGCGGAGTTGCAGGTATTTTTTATTAAAAAATTTTTTTTATAGGTTTTTTTCATTTAGGAAAATGTTGTTTATTATATAATATGGTAATTTTCGATTTAGAAAATTGGAAATCCTGTAGCTGATCGACACATAGCTCATGCGAACATTCCTGCAGCTTTTGAGTTATTAGGAACTACTCTAACACATTATAAAAAGATTTTAGACCTATACTCAAAAAAGGTAACTTTTTAGTTATGAAAATATTTTAATAGAGGGGAAAATAAGACACTCTTTTATCAAAATTCATTTTAATTTTTTAATTTATGGTTGTCAATTTTTAAATGTTTATAGCAATTAAAGTTATGATTGATTAGTAAATTTGTCGACATTTATAGAATATTTCTCAGCCTTTTAAAGATATGCCATCTAAATTAAGAGGTTTTTTTCAGGACGAATTATATAATCATATTGACGAAGCGGATATGAAAAAAGTTTCCAACCAAGTTGATGAAAAATTTGCTTGGTTTAACGAAAAAATGCAAGCTATGGCTCAGTGTCCCAAGCATTGCAATCCGGTCATTTATCCCTCCCAAATAAACGTTGAAGCTAAGCTTCTAAAGGATTTCTGTGATCCTATTGTGAATAAACCAAAGGTTAAGGTTCCCCCTAAAGAACCAGCGAATACCCAGAAAAAAGCAAACGAAACAACTAAAGAGAATATGGAAACAGATCAGACTCCCGCAGCGAATGAAAATAAAGAGGAGGTACACAAGCCTAATGGAGAGGTTCCATCAAATCTTGATATGGAAGTCGATTAATCCGATTGAATTTTTATTTTTGTTAAATAAAAAAATAAAACTTTATAGATATTACAACGTTCTTGTATATTTATTGTATATGTTTTTAGAATGGTCAAATTGAATCAAGTGTTTCGACATTTTAAATAATTGTTTTGTGTAGCCAACCTAGGTTAACATTTTTCTTATAAATGATTTTTTTTAATATATATTTATTTATAAATGTATGAATTATTTCTTTATTAAGTTATAAAAGCAAATTAAAGTTTTTCTGTAAATGTGTTTTCATACTTGCGCTCGTGTTAAAATGCGTTCAAACGTTTTTTTCGCCTAACTTTATTTACAGACCGTCAAAATAAGAAACTTTATTTTGCTCTTTAACTTTCATATTCTGATTAGCTTTTTAAGTTATATTTTTGTAAAAGCGAAGGGGATGACTCTTAAGAATCTGTAAATTCGAGTTATCGTCATTCTATTCTATAATATTTTTATATAAAATTTAATGCTACCGTCACCCATTCGTGTGAGTTAATATATATCACGCTTAGCCTTATGATATTGCTCTTTACATTGCCACGCGGTGCGGTACTCTTAAATCTTTATAAACTAGGATATATAGAAAAGTACAGGTCGGTGCGGAATAGACATTTTTACGGTTTCGGTTAGCTTTTATTATAATACATGTCAATGCTTATTTGTATGTGATTGACACGGTACTCACGGCAGCCGACGTAATAGCGAGATTGAGTTGCAGCATTTTTTTAAACCCTCTGCGGTTCAATGTCCCGCGTGAACTACTAATATTTATAAAAAAAAAAATATCTTTTCAAGCTAACTTGGACAATTTATTAGGTTCAATTGGTAATATTATTGTGTGATTTGGTTCAATTGGTAATATTATTGTGTACTTAGTGCTTCTAAGTAACATTTTTTAATCGTCTAACCTTATTAACTCTAAGAAATTTTTATAAAAGTTTATTTACAAATGGCAAGGAAACGTTATACAACTGAAGAAGTATTGATGGCATTGGATGAAACAAGTACTAAAAGCGACAGTGAATACACTTTTAGTTAATCTGAGACTGTATTCTCAGAGATATCAGAGTCAGAGGAAGATATTCAGCTAAATGAAATTGATGATAATAAACCTGCTTTGATGGACAAAAGTAGTGCAAGATACTCCAGCATTTAATGCATTGCCATTCACTGTAGCAAATGTAGGTCCTCAGCATTCAATAAACTTAACACGTGAACTAGATTTTTTTAAGTTATTTTTTACTGATTAGTTACTTGCAGATATTGTAACCAAAACTAATCGTTATGCAAAGTCAAAATTTTCAAAAATTGAAAATAACGATATGGAATCTTATTCTATTTGGCATAAATGTAAAGATGTGACACTTGAAGAAATATATGCATACTTTGGTACAATTTTGAATATGGCTCTGAATGAAAAATCAAGTATAAAATATTTTTATTACGATTGGCTGAACTAATTGCTTTTTTTTTTTTTTTTTACATATATTTTTTACAAGTACATAATTTTAACAATACATACTTTTATTAAAAATAGTATAATAATATATACTTTTATTGCAAATACAGTCAAAATGCTTCAAAAATAACTGAAATAATATTAAGATATATTTGATGTACAAAGTTATAAAATAAAGTAAAATAGTTTTACAGTTAATATTTTTCAATATAATTAGTTGTGTTATTAGAAAGGAGCATAACGTAAACATAACATATATATATATATATATATATATATATATATATATATATATATATATATATATATATATATATATATATATATATATATATATATATATATATATATATATATATATATATATATATATATATATATATATATATATATATATATATATATATATATATATATATATATACATATATATATTTATCACGGGTACCCTGAAGGTGACCTAAGACCTTATATCAAGTCCCATGAAATATTTTGTTTTGTTTTTGAAAGTAGTACATTTGTACATTCTGAAACTATCAAAATTTAAATCATTTGTTGGTAGCTTTTTTAGAAAACTTAGTAAGAAGTTTTATAAATAACGATGTTTTCGTATTAAAATAATACTTTCCCGTCAGCCATTATAGTTGTTTACTTTCTGCAATTGCAGCAGCGTGATTGGCTTAAATAATATTTATTAGTTTCCGATTGGCTTATAGTTGTTGTTGCTTTAAAAGACTTTAACAATATTTATAAACACATTTTAGCAATAACAGCGATTTTATTTAATTAATTAAGTAAAATACTTATATTGACTTGAATTATAAAGCCGATTAAAAAATATAGGAACTATTTCTCAATAATAGAAAAGAAATGCCATACTTTGCTAAAGATCATAACGAGTTTTTAAAATGCTTTTGCATATGCTGTATAAAAAAAAGTAATGATTTAAGATGCATTCAAACCAAATGCAATAAACCAGGTCCAAAACAAGCAAAAAATTATGAAAATCTTATCAAGAGATTTTTTTGGGAAAACTACTCTGTTGAAAACCCGGATCTGCCTAAAATGTTATGTTCTAATTGCAGAAAAAATCTAGTGAGTTTAGAAAAAACAGATTCAAAAAGATTTTTATTCAAGGCTCGACCTAAGTACGAAGGTAAGTTTTATAAGAAAATAAGCCAATAAGAACCAATTATGTTTTGCATTATTATTGTTTTTCTTATAAACAATATTTTGTTTGCACTAAAAAAATAACTTTTTATTACTTTTAGGTCTCAATACTAGAGTTATTCGAGGTGGGAAATGTGAGTGTTTTATTTGTGTTAATGGGCGTAAAAATGGTACTGAAACAGCAACTCTTCCACTAATGGTATCTTGTGAAACTAATGCAGATATTGATCAAAGTCACAGTAATTTGAATCGACTACCAATGAAAATCTTGTTCTTTGCAGAAGTTGTTTTCAACAAATAGGAAAAGGTATTAAACATCCTTGCACAAAGTTAGCTAAGCAAAGGAATTTGATGCATATTGTACAATCAACCTCACCTGTTACTAAAGAAAAGGTTTTATCCACCACAATCAACAATTTAGTAACCCATGATGCAAAAATAACATTGAACACCTTTGGCCCTAAGAAGCTTGTTGTTTTTATTGGAGTAGTTGAACCGAAAACACCGTACTTTTCACATTCAAAACTGAAACAACTACAGAGCAAACTTCATAAAAGGTATAGATTGTCTTCTACTAAATTCAAGAAATATAATTTATTTTAAAAAATCATTTACTGTTTTTATCATTGTATCAAATTTACTAGTGACAATAAGATGTTAGAAATTGCCCGATTTATACGAGTGAATGAAGGAAGAAAATCTGTTGAGCCTTGTTATTCTGAAAAGTTAACCGAAGAAAACAAAAATTGTTTTTGTTTGATGCTGAGCTTATGCTGATCCAGTCAAAACAGAATACTGGAGATAATAAAAAAGTGGTATAACTAAATATATATATATATATATATATATATATATATATATATATATATATATATATATATATATATATATATATATATACATATATATATATATTATATAGTGTTTATATATATATATTTATATATATATAGTGTTTTACTTTAACTAAAGATTTTCAGTTTCTTAAAAAGCTCTATAAAAATAATATATTATAATAAAATATTATTCTATGCAACATTTTAATTTTATATTTTTGTATTTGATTAATTTGAAAGTTGATAATTTAAAATAAATCATCATCCTTGGACTTAAAGTTGTTTTGTAATTATTTAGTGTATTGAAAGAACTATTCCTGGTGTAATTTGCAATAATGTTGATGAGTTTGTTGCAACAGTTTTGCGACGTAGATCTCTTGAACCAGAGAATGTTGATGTTAAGATTGGGGTAGATGGAGGGCAAGGCTATCTTAAGGTTACTTTATCAATCACATTAAAGCCAGAGCTTGAAGTACATTCAATTGAAAAGAAAAGAGTGAAATATTCAGATGAGTATGGATTTAAAGAATTCAAGTATACTAGTGTTCACAAAACTTTAGTTTTGGCGGTATTACCCTCTATTGATGAAAATTATGCAAACATAAAAATGTTGTTGGATAAATTAAAACTTAATTCTCTGGATTACTCTATTTCAGAAGATCTAAAGGTTCTTCTTCTGATGGTTGGAAAGCAGTCAGCAGCTTCGAAGCATCCTTGCCCATTTTGTGAAACAGAATCGCCAAATATGCTGAGAGCTAAGTCATATTCTCTAACTTCTCTGTGTGAGTGGTGTAACAAATGGATGGCTGCAGGAGGAAACATTGCAAAAGCTAAAAATTTTAGTAACGTAGTTAATCCTCCTTTATTGACTGGAAATGTAACAAAGAAGATCTTAGAAATTGTTAATATACCAGGCTTACATATTTTGCTAGGCATAGTAGACAAGTTACTCAAAATAATTGAAAAAAACTTGTTTGAGGACACTAATCAAGGATTTAATTTTGTAAATAGTTATCTATCTACAATTAATCTTGCCAGAGTACCTTATCAAGGTAAACACAGGTTAGAAGGAAATGCATCCAACAAGTTTTTAAAAAAACTTGATTGCTTTCAAATATATCTGGATGAGCACAATATTATTGGTGGCAAATATATGAAAGCTTTGAGAGACTTTAGCGATGTTGTTCACGGGTGTTTTGGGAAAATATTAAATCCAAACTACTCTGATTATATTAAAAGATTTTCACAAAGTTTCAGAGATCTTGGTTCAAACATTCCTCTTAAAGTTCATATAGTGGAGCATCATGTTGAAGAGTTTATTGTTATGAAAGGAGGAAAGTTTGGTAAGTGCATATTTAGAAAATTAACTGATAACTTTTTAAATTTTAACATATAAAAATAATAATATTAAATATTTTGAATTAAGGTTTAGGGTATTGGACTGAGCAAGCATTGGAATCAGTCCATCAAGACTTCAAACAATTTTGGGAAATACGAAAGGTAGGACAACACAACGCCAATTTTAAAGAAGTCTTGCGAAGAGCTGTCTGTGTGTATAACACAATGCATTTATAGTTAAATGTAGTATTTTTTGTTAGTAAATATTTCCTTTTTTTTTTTTATAAATAAAACTATTTTATTTAGAATTCTTTCATTACAAATCCAAAGATGATTCTATATGGGCATTGTATTCCTGTAGACCTACATTATCCTCTTCAATAAAAAAGAAAGCTAACTTTTAAGAAGTGATAAATTAGTCAATGTTCTGACTAGAATGCCCAAATTATTATCAGAATTTATATCAAAATACGATCCTCAAATTGTCAATCCACTAGATCAAACAACCAAACAAATTATATACAGCTATTTAATCCACTTGCAGGGGTCTTAGGGCGAGTCAGAGGGGCATTAATCTCTAGTTAAAACATGTCTTAAAGCTTGGATTTCTCAAAAAGCTACCAAAAAATGATTTACTTTTTAGTAGTTTTGGAATGTGCTCATGGACTACTTTCAAAATCAAAAAAAAAATTTCATGGGATATGATATAAGGTCTTAGGTCACCTTCAGGGTACCCGTGTTATATATATATACATATATATATATATATATATATATATATATATATATATATATATATATATATATATATATATAATTATATTATTATTATATTTTCTCTTTATCACCCAGTAGTAAATTACAGGTAAAATGATATTTAAATAGTCAAACAATAAATTAAAAATCAGCTAAAACAATACGGCTCTTGTAGTTGTTAGCAATAAATGCTTATAAACAGCTGGTTTGTTTTCCACATATTATTGGGACAGAGTTCTAGGAACATTCTCCTCCATCAAGATTTTAAACGCCTCTCTCTTTTCTTTCAAATTCCAAAACTGGAACGTTTCTTTCAATATTAGCATAATATTAGTTTGTAGCTCTACGATTGGTTGCGTCAATTTAATTTTTTTACCATTTAACATGCACTGTATGAAATTTAAATCAAGTGTGTTGCATGCATCAATTACTTCGTTTGTAAAGGATTTTTTATTCTTTGTTTCCTGTATTTGATTAACTATATAATTATATATATATATATATATATATATATATATATATATATATATATATATATATATATATATATATATATATATATATATATATATATATATATATATATATATATATATATATATATATATATATATATACAGGGGCGGATTAGGCCACCGGGACATTTCTCGGTGGGCCGTCAGCAATACAACATTTTAAAATTTTATAATATTTTAAAACACAAGAAATACAGAAATACTTTCATTTCCAAATCCACTGTAAACCAAATTATATTAGGAATCGCTAAATTAATGAAAAGTGCCATTGTTGAAGAAGTACAACAAGCGGGAATATTCTCAGTGCAACTTGACACAACTCAAGATGTAACACCAGCAGATAAATGTGCGATAGTCCTGCGATACGTTACCGACAAAGTTGAGGAGCGACTTATTGGTGTTGTCGATTCACATTCTGGAAAAAGCAGTGATCTGTGCAAATTGATGTCAAATGTTTTGGAATAAAATGGCATTGATATTACTAAATGTGTGTCAGATAGTACTGATGGCGCGTCTAATATGGCCGGGGTATACAATGGATTTACTACATTCTTAGAAAAAGCGTCTCCTGGACACATTCACACATGGTGTTATGCGCGTGTTTTAAATCTGGTCGTATGTGACGCCACCAGCAGTAATGAAGCTTCAATGACTATTTTTGGTATACTTCAAAAGGCTGCTATGTTTTTTCGTGAGTTCACTTGAGAATGAACCTTTGGACTGATCACATGAAAGAAAAAAATGGCCAAAACATTCACAAACGACTAAGTGTTATCGGCGCTACTAGATGGGGGTCCAAACACGATGCCCTTCAAAAGTTTTTTGGTACGTTTTGCGACGGTGAAGGAGCATTATACACAGATGTCGTTCAAGTACTGAATATAGCAGTCTCTTCCACTAAATTAAGTGTTGAAGCACGCTATGATGCGCAGTGTCTATTAACGTCTTTATTGAAGTATAAGACTGTACTGACGGGATTTGTATATCTAAGAATAATGGAAGCAACCACACCACTGTCCAAATACCTACAGACGTCTGGATTGAATTTCATAAAGGCGTTTGAGATGGTTTAAGTAACTATTTCAGAAATTCAGACTCAATCACGCAATTTTGATCAAGTTAAGGTGGCTGCATACCATTTCATTAATGTGTCCGCAACCATTCTTGACGAGAAAGAATGTGATTGTGTTATACAGACAGATTTGCCAATGGTACGCAAAAGAATAAGAAAAGTAATGCCAGGAGAATTAGCAAATGATGATCCACTTACAGTTCCTATAAAAAAGTTTGAAGTAGAGGTCCACAATGGTATTCTAGACACAGTGTTAAGAAGTCTGTCGACTCGGTTTGAATCACACGGTGAACTGTACTCTGATATGAGTTGTTTTGACCCCAACAGATTTTCTGAGTTATTGAAATGTAATATTCCAAAAACAGCTCCACAGAAAATCTGCTGTCATATTTCGGCAACAGGGGTGTATATTTACTTATAAATATAATTGATTGGTTTTTTGTTAAATTTTATTAGTAATTGCTTAAGTATCCTTGTTTTCCAAATTGGTAAACTTCATTAAATTTTTAATTAGCATTAGATAAGGTTATCTCTTTTGTTCTTTATTTTGAATATTTATAAGACTATCTTTATCTTTTTATATTTTAGGCGAAGAAGCGCAGCTGTTGCTTAAGCTGTTGGGCTTTGCAAAAAAGTTGCCAGTTTTAAAAAAAACATTGGAAGAGAGTTACGATTGTTCTGATCAAATCACGATTGATGAGGATGAGGTTGAAAATGAAGATGACGCTACCAACCATAAATGCGACCCTTTAAAGAAGTGTCGCTTGTGCATTTACTGTTGCTACCATGTGCTTCGAAAATATAATCTTTACGGCAAGAGCTACTGCATGTTGCACAGGGCTTACAAATTCATGCTCACAATTTCAATTACCCAAGGGGCTTGTGAGAGGAGTTTCAGCAAGTTGAAATATGTCAAAACAAGATTGCGAAGTCAGTTGACAGAAGATCACTTGGACTCAATGTTAATGATGTGCATTGAAAAGGACATGTTGAGTAACATAACCAACGATGAAATTATTGATGAACATGCTAATTCGAGTGGTGAATTAAAAAAGTTACTGCTTTTATGATTTTTAGTTTTTGTGATTTAAATATGAATTTATAAAACAAATATAACATATGTACTTTAATGACATCTTTATTGATTTTAAACAAGTGTATACAAGTCCTTATTGTTTAATAGTGTTACAAAAGTATTTAAAAGTGAGGGGTTACAAGCGAATACGATTTAAAAAAAAAGGTCACTTGGTGGGCCTTTTTTATGAGAGCATTTCCCGGGCCTTTTCAAAAGCCTAATCCGCCCCTGTATGTATATATATATATATATATATATATATATATATATATATATATATATATATATATATATATATACATTTAAAAATGATTGAATATTTCTGATATATCTTTTTTATTTTTGTACTTATATATAAGCAAGTATGAATATACATATGAATATATGTATATATTCATATGTATATTCATACTTGCTTATATATTTAAGTTTTATATATATATATTTTTTTGGACATATTTTTGATATTTGAATTACTCATAAGATATTAGAAAATTTCCATATAACTGCTTTGTATCTAAGACGAGTTTTTTAAGATTAGCTTTGAAGGAATTTATATTTTTCAGGAGAGATATTGAGAAATTTTTTGGTATTAATTTGTTATACAAGTAAGGACCACGATAAGCTATAGAAAATTGGGAGAGTTTTCTTTTTTTTAAGGGTACTATATAGTTTCCAGTTGCTCTAGAGCTAAATTTATTTATATTAGTTTTAAAAAAGTTATTTATAAATCGACTTGGAACAGTTCTCATTTTATGTTTGAACATAAAATATTTTGATACATATTGATTTGGTAAATGTTTAAAACATTCATCTGTTTTAGTAATGGGTTTGCCTGAGTCAATTTGTTTTTATAAAATATAAGCTATATTAAGTATGATAGATAGCTGTGTATAAAGGAAAAATAAAGAAGTTTTAAGTTTTTGAACGATAGATAATTTCTTGCTTTATAGAGTAGACCAATGTTTTTTGAGATTTTTGTATTAACGGTGTTTATGTGAGAGTTTCATCATAAATACTCGTCAAGATGCACGCCAAGAAACTTAGATGATTGAGTTCGTTCAATAATTGTGTTGTCTATACTAAAAGTTGGTAAAATTGATGGAGTAGTTATTTTTTTTGTTTGGGGTGAAATAAGATGTATTTAGTTTTGTTTAAGTTTAATGACAATTTGTTAGCTCTGAACCATGTGTTAAGTTTCATAAGTTCTAAGTTTGCGGTTATAAAGAGGTCACTGATTGAGCTAGAAGAATAAAACAGATTAGTGTCGTCTGCAAAAATTATGCAATCTAACTGAGATGAGACTTTCGGGAGGTCGGTTTGTTGTCTGTTGTCTAGGTAGTAAGCAAACCATTTTATAGATTGATTATTTACACCATACTTTTCCATTTTTTTTAGTAGTATTGCGTAGTCTACTGTGTCAAATGCCTTTGTTAGATCAATAAAGACTCCTAATACAAATTTTTCATCATTAAAGGAACTCGTAATGTTATTAATGAGATCTTGGATAGCATGTTCCGTTGAATGTTGCGTTTGAAATCCATATTAATTTTCACAATAGATTTTGTGTTCTATTAAATATTTATACAGCCTGTTGTAAATTATTCTTTCAAGGAGTTTAGAAAATATAGGGAGTATTGAGATTGGTCTATAATTGCTAATTGCAGATGTATCTCCACCTTTAAATATAGGTACCATTTTTTTTGTCTGAATAAAAAGATAAAGAATAAAGTCCCAGGTATTTACAACATCTCTGGCAATCAAGGCCAGCGCGATAGGGGGGTGTGACACCCCCCTCCCCTATCAATGGTTTTTAGTCGGCAAATTGGACCCTTTTGATATAGGTTAGACAGTTGGTAAATGTCGTCATGGCAGTCTGCAAATTTTGGAAAACGAAGACCTTTTTTTATTTTTTTTGACAATCCGATTTTTGATTGAAGACCTGAAGATATTAAAAATACGCATTTTTACTGTAGAAAAAATATAAAGTACAACATTGCCAGCAGGGCCGGCGTGAGTAGGTGTCACGTGTGGGGGGGAGGAAGGAGGGGTGCCATTACAACTTTTGCCGACTAAAAATAAAAAAAAATAAAAAAAGGCCTTCGTTTTCCAAAATTTGCCGACTGCCATGACGACATTTACCAACTGTCTAACCTATATCAAAAGGGTCTAAT